TCTTCATTGGTCAGTGAAGATTCCAATGAGGATATAGCTGCGCAGTTCCAATTGGCTGGGGCAGGTTTTTAGTTCAGGGATTGATTCTTTATAAGGGTCAGCTCAAATGACAGGAACACAGTGCAGGAAGACAGGCAGCACAGTGCAGTTTTCGCCTGAAGTGCAGAGAACATGAAGTACCCTGCTTAGCAATAACTAATAGACTCTGTTTATAAAGTTGAGCCAAATAGCCACCAGGAATTCTTCTTAACAGACTTCCATGGGAAGAGGGCACAGGGCGTTGTTTCACTCTGAAAAGGTCCACTGGGGAAGAATTTCCTGAAACATCTACCATGATTAATTCTCAGCATCTAGTTAGTGTTCCTGGTCAAGTCAGACAAGTAGACAAAAGAAGCTGGAAACAGCCACAGCCAGGAGTAGGACACAGAAAGAAACTCCATCCTTTGCATGTGCAAGTTGTCTTTCCACCTCAGGGCAAAACTGGAGAATACCACTAGATGCCTCCCACATCAGCCCACATCAGCCCTGGGCCCAGATTGGGATCTGGGGGTGTGGAGTCTCTTCAGCCACCCTCCTCCAACTCCCGGCCCCAGGCTCTTGCCGTTATCACCAGCCATCTCTCTGCCAGCTGGAATCCCTCCTGCCCAGCAGCTACCTCCATGGTGCACATGGGCACCTCTATGTTGAAAAAACACCAGGTGCCACCTCTCTTCAAAGCAGCAAAATTTAGGGTTTATTTGGATGCCTGATGTGGTCAGAATAAGACAGAGCAGAGGCAGCTTTCTGTTAAACAAGTGCAGTGATAAAAATCTGCAAAACCACCAAGTACTCATCCTCAGCCAGTTGTTCCTGATTTAAAGTCGAATTTCACACTGCTCTGTCCCTTGCAGTGGGAACCCTCAGATGTCCCTTAGCAGTTGCTTGCATGGGAAGCTTGGCTTTTTGCTTCTCATGAAGCAAACCCACAGAGGTTCCTTTTTCAGGCAGATTTAGACTGCACAGCTGCTCACTGAGGGCATACTCCTCAAATAAAACTCTGAAGTCACAGGCTGACATACTTAAAAAGTCAGAAAACAACATCGGAGTACCCAGGTCCAGGGGGAAATAAGATAAGACATTTTAACTACTGAACATTGTTCGTCTGGAACTTCCTTCTCTAGGAGCCTCATGTCATATTTTTCTCTTTTGTTTAGCCCACTTAATCCTTTCTCCTTCAGTCCACTGCCACAATGCTGGCCATCTTACTTTCAAACCTTTCCAGGTTTTAAAGTGCAGGTGCTTCTATTTGCCTGGGATTCAGGCCACCATGACATGACTCCTCTCACTTCTCAGGGCTTCCTCCTGGTTCATGCCTGCAGCCTCTGCTCAGGTTGCTTCTGTGCCTGACTGCCCTTCATGCTGTCCCCATGCCCTCCAGCTGGCAAACACCTCTTCCACTTCCGCGGTTTTATCCAAGAACGACTTTTCAGTGCAAACTTTTTCTACCTTTGCCCATGCTGTCTCACTCCTCTACAAAATCAACCACTTCCTTCTTTGTGCCCCAGCATGCCGCATATATTGCTACTCACTTTATCATCATGGCTCACCTTACTACACTTCAACATTGTATTGTTCATTGTTGGGGGCTAAGACCATGTCTTATTCAAAATTATCTGTGCCTGGCTCTCTGGACCTTTTTCACATCAAAGAGCACATTGAAAATGATAATGATAATATTTATGTGGTTAAAGAGGCTGCTAGTTTGAAAGATTAATATCTTGGCACACCTTTAATAACCCATTCAAAGCTCAAACACACCAGTTAAGAAGTTCTGCATACAAGACCTGCAGTTAATGTGTGTTGAAAGAATAAGTCAATCAGCCTGTTTATAGGATTAAGAGATATCTGGAATTAGGCAAATAAAGATCTTAGAAATCAATGAAAGGAATGGTGATATAGAAGAGATATAATTAAGACTGAATATGGCCCAGCTGGTGTGGCTCAGTGGTTGAGAGTGTCGACCTATGAATCAGGACATCGTGGTTGGATTTCTGGTCAGGGCACATGCCTGGCTTGTGGGCTTAACCTCCAGTGGAGGGCGTGCAGGAAGCAGCCAATCAAAGATTCTATCTCAGCATTGATGTTTCTATTTATCCCTCCTTCTCCCTTCCTCTCTGAAATCAATAAAAATATATTTTTTTAAAAAATTAAAGACTGAATATGATCCCAGCAGTAGGGAAGATATTTTATCTGTTCATCCCCTAGAAATCTCTAATTTCCCATCAAGATAAGCTTCCCATTCATTCAAGGTAATTTTAGAGCCAGCTTTTTCACATTGAGCGTGCAGAATAATCAATTTGGAGGTGTCAAAAGTTCCCCACTTTAAGCTGATACCATTTTTAGTTAAATTTTCCCATTTCTATAGGTACTTGCAAGTTGAAATTCTGTACAAACTGTACACGTATCCTGTGGGAGTATTAACCGGGGGCTGGGATTCTTAGCGTTTCAACCATAGAGGTACAATTTCCCATTTTATTTTTAGTCTTTCTTTGGATATCTGCAGATTCTGAAAAAATTTTCTAGGGATGTTATGTAGTGGGTCAAAGTGTGCTGCTTATGGGTTGAGCTCCACAAGGCTCTCACCCCTCGAGTTACATTCAACCCTCTTACATGCCTCGGTTTCTCTCCCAGCTGTCCAAAACAATGGGAAGGGCACCGGGTGCTGTCAAACCAAGCCTTATGGGTGCTCCCCTGGATGAGCCTGTTAGTTTAATTACAGTTGAGTTGGAAATTCCCTGTGGGGCTCCTGCATGTCCTGAGGAATGACCTCTGACACCTCCACAAAGGTTCTTAGTAACCTAAGAACACCTGAGATTTGGGTTGGAGGGAGGATGTGCCCCTTTATCTTCAGAGCTGAACTCATTCAGCTCTCATTTATACAGCGAAGGGCTTTTGCTCAGACTCTCAGAAAGCAATTCTAATTGAAAAGCCAAATCAAAACCTGCCACAGGTTTCAACTCCTATCCTTTAGTGCCACCTCTAGGAATTTCTAAGAGCAGCTCAAATAAAGTCAGACCCTCTACCAAAAGCAAAGGAAGGTCCTGGATCCAGGAGACAACTCACCCAAGTTCACCCAATGCAGCTGGGAGCCGGCGGGGCACAACGGGCCTTTTCTGGATCCAAGCACCAGGTCTGGGTCTGCAGAATGGTCTTGGGGTTGAGCTTCTTTGGAATCCTGCCAACTACACCAAGTAATAACGTTAGAAACATTCAAACCTGGGAAGAATTTTTGTGCATTTATTTGAGCCAAGCTGTCAACAAATGCCAGGAGGCAGAACCTCAACAGATCGAGATAATGCTTCGGAGAAGGGCAGCTTGTAAGCACCTTGTACAGAACTACAGTCAAAGGAGGAGATGCACGTGGGTTACATGAAATCCACTGGTGATAGATTAGGGAGGCGGGAGAAAGCAAAGCGGGGAAACCTCTGGGATTGGATTAAAAGTAAAATGATAGACACACACTCCTGTTACTTAAGTAGGTACAGGATAGTTAACAGTCAACAACTGATTCAATAACAATGAGGGGATTTGTAGTCTCCGCAGAGCGGTGCCTGTGCTTCGAGGGTCTGGAAAAAGGGAAATTACTTTGACATTCCAAAGAGATGTTATTGTAGATGCAAAAAGACAATAGGTTCAGTTAAGGTAAAGATTGACCTATGACTACCCACCGTAAACTGCCTTTAGTTTTTTTAAAAAAGGGTTTAATTTCAGACTATCCTTTGTGGTTATTTTAGGTCTCTGAGTTTGTAAGGCTGCCACACAGGCCTGCCCTGAGCTTGTCAGGTTTAGTTTGTGGCCCCTTTTCATCCGAAGTTTATTACATTGA